GAAAAAAAAATTTTCTATATTTTTCTCGTAGTCCCCAAGGGAGCCTCTATGACCCCTTAAAAGGAATGGCGCCAATTTTGAATCACCCTGCATGTATATACAGGGTTATTCACGCTATACGACACGGACGTTTGCGGCTAGCCCGTTTGTTTTTTGCACACTATTATTTGATGAATCCCCAGACGCCTATAGGGTGCACATTTTAAAAATATTGAAGTGACACAGAGTGTCCCAAAAGCCCTAAAAGTATCAAAGTTGTGTTTTTCTAAATGAAATACCCTTTCTAAAAATATATATATTATTACATTTTCGGATTCCCTGAGCAAAATAAGAGTTTGTTTTAATAAAATTTATAATGTCTAAATCTAAAGATTTTTTAAATAATTTGAATTTTATAAAAATCTAATATTATTTTCATGTGTCAAATACTTTAGAATTATTTAAGTTATATAAACGTAATTCGTAGTGCAGTGTAACAAGAAATAATATTTTATATCCCAATGATAATGAACTTACCTTTTCATACAGGGTGTCCACAAATTTAAACTAATCAAATAAGAACTTTAAGTGGCTATAACTTGATTAATTTAAATACAACCCCATATTTTTTAGCTTACCAGAAAATGCAGTTTTTACGTACCTATCTAATGGTACTAAGATGTTTATAACTAAGTTTTTGCCTTTTTACAAAATACACCAAATTATGGTTCTGTGCACCATTTGGTGTTTTTTTTTATTAAAAGGATAAATAACATATCAACAATAACATAAAACAAAGGCAAATTATTTATAACAAATGTTCGAAATGTTGACCGTCCATTTCCAGGCACTTGTAAATTCTTTTTTCAAAACAACTGCTAACTCTGGACAACATTTGCAGAGTTACAGTTTTAAAAGCGTCTCTGATGCGTGTTTTCAAATCGTGTGATGTTGTCGGAAGCGCATGATAAACAATTCCTTTTATGTACCCCACAAAAAGAAATCTAGTGGAGTTAAGTCCGGAGATCTGGGGGGCCAATTTTGAAACCCATTTCTGCCAATCCACCTGTTTT